GCCCCACCCTGGCCCCACCCGTACCCGAGATGCCCCGTTTGAGCCAGCGTGGCTGCCCCAGCTCGATGAAGAAGTTGTCCTTCTTCTCGTACTCTTCGTCGTCCACAATCTTCACCTGCAGCGTCTTCCTGGGGACGGGGGGGACGTGGTGTCGGCACCAGCACCGGCACCGGCACCGGCACCGGCACCGGCAGGCTCAGGGGGACCCACGACACCCCGGGGGGGATGAGGGGGTGCGGGAGCTGGCCACGTCCATCCCCTTTCTGTCCCCTGGGACCCATGCGGAGGGACTGGTCCCCAGTGCGGGGTGGCAAGGCCCAACCAGAGCCTGCTCTGTCCACCCATCCACTTATACATCTGTCCATCCATCCATCAGTCTGTCCATCCATCCATCCATCCTTCTATTTGTCCATCCATCCAACTGTCTATCCATCTGTCCATCCATCCACTTATACATCTGTCCATCCATCCATCCTTTCATTTGTCCATCCATCCACTTATACATCTGTCCATCCATCCGTCTGTCCATCCATCCATCCTTCCATTTGTCCATCCATCCACTTATACATCTGTTCATCCATCCATCCATCTGTCCATCCATCCATGCATCCATCCTTCCATCTGTCCATCTCGCCATCCATCTGTCCATCTGTCCATCCATTTGTCTATACATCTGTCCATCCATTTGTCTATACATCTGTCCATCCATCCATCAGTCTGTCCATCCATCCATCCCTCCATCTATCTGTCCATCTTTCCATCCATCCATCTCTCCATCCATCCATCCATCTGTCCCTCCATCCACCAGTCTGTCCATCCGTCTATCTCTCCATCCATCCGTCCCCCCCCCCCTCAGTGCTCCCCCCTCCCCTGCCACCCGTGCCCATTAATTAGTGCCAGCGCTCCCCTGTGCCGGCAAACGATGCCTCCAGCCCAATTAAGCCCAATTGCCTTTTAACGGGCTTTTAATTGGGCCCTGGCCCCGCAACAACAGGCGGGGTGACACCCACCACCACCACCAATCAACTGATTAGGCCTTAATTAGCACTGGGAGCGGCATCCAAGGCAGGGGCAGGGATAGGGATGGGGGTTTACTACTGCAATTAAATGCTAATGAAGGGCCCTGCCATGCTGCTGGGGGGGGGTAGATTTAACGTGGGGGGTGACGGGGGGGTGTGAGCAAGGGGTGGGTGCCCGTGCCAGAGGGTCATGCATTGGGGTGCCCATCCCAGTGTGTCCCCCCCCTCCCTCCACCACCGTCCCCCCAGGGGTGCCGGTATCTCACGCGGTCTCGTCGTTCTTGAACTCCAGCTCCCCGCAGGCGTCCTCGTAATGGATGCCGCCGCCGCGGGCCGTTCCCTCCACCGTGCGGTAGGGCAGGAGGACGGTGCCACGGGCGCCAGAGCTGCGGACCACCTTCACCTCCACCGTCCCCTGGCACTCGCTGACGTGCAGCAACCGATCCTGGAAGGTGAAGATGCCGGCGTGGTCGTCGTCCAAGATGGTGACGGTGGCCACCAAAGGAGCCACCAACCGACCCTTGGGGTGCTCGGCCGAGTCGGTCTCGAACATCCCCTCGGCATCGCCCACCCGGAGGTTGAGGAGGCGGACGAAGAAGTGCTCGTCCTCCTCGAAGATGTCATCATCGATGATGCCGATCTTCAGCTCCTTCTGGGTCTCCCCTGGCTTGAAGATCAGCGTCCCCTCACTGTACTCATAGTCGGAGCCCGCCTTGGCCGAGCCATCCTCCGTCTTGTAGTCCACGTAGAAAGTGTGGTTGGCTTCAGCGCCGTGTTGGCAAGCCACCGAGAGCGTCACCGAGCCGCAGTTCTCCAGGCAGTGGTACAGGCACGGCTCAAAGAAGATACGGCTGCAGGTCTCCTCTTCGGCGTCCGAGGGCACCTCCAGGAGGGTGGAGGACCTCTTGGAGAACTCGGCCACATGTTTCTTGAGGATGTTACCGGCACCAGTCATCATACGGGTGGCCTGGATGCGGTAGAAAGCTCGGCTCTTCTGCTGGTGGAGCAGGGCGTAGTAGTTGGCCATCTCCACTAGCTGCTCCAACTCCTTCTCGGGGTGCTTTTGCTTGAGGTCCTTCAAGATCTGGATGACTTCCCGGCGGCTCTCGTCCAGCTCCTTCTCCTCCGGCGTGGGGGCGGGCAGGGCAGGCGATGCAGTGACGCCGGTGCCTTCGGCCTCGCGGCGCTCAGGGACCGGGAAGCCGCCGTCCATCTCGATGCCCTTGGGGAGCTCGCCCTCGGTGCCAATGATGATGCCGCTGCGGGGGTCGGCGCGGTAGCGCTTGTAGACGTACTTGTAGAAGAGGAGCCGTTTGTCAGCGGCCCAGGCAAAGACCACGCAGACGGGGAAGAAGATGAGGGTGAGGAGGGCTTCCCAGACCTGCACCACCCCGGGGGAGATGACGGCCAGGATCAGGTAGAGCCAGATGTAGGCAAAGATGCTCCAGGAGGCCGTGACGAAGAAGACCCTCAAGTGCTTGATCTTGCGGCTCTCACCGCCGGGGATGACGTAGACGCAGACGGCAATGACCACAAACATGTTGAAGGCCGCGCTGCCCACGATGGTGCCGGGTCCCAACTCACCCGCTTGGAAGTTGTGGCCGCAGACCTCGATGACGGAGAGGAGGATCTCGGGGGCCGAGGAGCCCAGCGCCATCAGGGTGAGGTTGGAGACCGTCTCGTTCCAGATGCGGACGGTGCCGATGCTGGTCTCCCCGTTGGCCTTGGTGATAGTGATCTCCTTCTCCTTGGAGGTGATGACCTCGATGGAGGCCATGAAGCGGTCGGCGATGATGGAGACGCCCAGGAACATGTACATCATGGCCACGAAGTAGACGATGGCGCGGGCTGCCTTGTCGCCGAAGGAGGGGTTGTCGGGTTGCCAGACGGGCAGCAGGACGCCGGGCTGGCAGCGGTTGGAGCCCTGGCACGTCCCGTTGGCCTCGGCCGCCGGCTCGGGGGCGCAGGGCTCGGCCAGCAGCACCGCGGCCACCAGCACTGCCTGCCACGCCGCCATCCCACTGGCTTCCACCTGTGGGAGAGAGGGGGGGCTCAGTGTCGGGCTGGGGAATCTTTGTTAAGGGGGGGGGGCTCATTAGTGCCAGCAAGATGGAAAACACCATCGATCCCCCTCTGCCGTCCCAGCACTGTCTCTGCACCAAAGCACCTCTAGGGACCACAGCCATGAGGCAATGCTCAGTCGTGGGGCTGGGATGGAGCTGTGGGGCTGGGGACCACAGCCATGGGGCGATGCTCAACCATGGGGCTGGGGACTGTGGCAATGGGGTGATGCTCAGCTGTAGGGCTGGGACACGGCAATGGGATGATGCTCAGCCGTGGGGCTGGGATGAAGCCATGGGGCTGGGGACCATGTCAATGGGGTGATGCTCAGCCGTGGGGCTGGAGATGTCGGCACCCCGGCAGAGCGGGCGAGGGCCGGCGGCCGCCCGCGGTGCCGGGGGTTTGTGGGGTGCGTGGGCGCTCCCAGGCTCCACCCTGGCAACCGCGTTGTTCCCATGGCAACAGAGGATGGGAACGGCTATAAAAAGGGTGATGGAGAGGGAACGGGGACCCCAAAAACCACCCGGGAGGGGTTCGGGGCTGGCCCGGCTGCCCCCTCAGTGCCTCCCGCCAGCCCCACGGCACCGCTGCCCTCCACCCCACGGGGGGGACGGGGAGGTGAGCCCGGCCAGGGCGGCGGAGGTGGTTGTGCCCCACGGTTCAGTAGGGAGGGGGGTGGCAGGGGGCCGGTGTGGGTCCCCAGTGGTCGCCGTCCCCCCACGTGGGGCTGTGGGGCACCAGCTCGCCCCACGATGGTGACGGTGCTGGGTGGGTGCAGACGTGCAGCGGCAGAGCTGGGCTGGGCTTGGTGCGCTGCCCCACTGCGCCAGCCCCATTGCACCAGTCCTATTCCATGGCCCCATTGCACCAGCCCCACTGCATCAGCCCCATTGCACCAGCCCCATTGCACTGCCCCATTGCACCAGTCCCCCTGCACCAGTCCTATTCCATGGCCCCATTGCACCAGCCCCATTGCACCAGCCCCATTGCACCAGTCCTATTCCATGGCCCCATTGCACCAGCCCCACTGCACCAGTCCCCCTGCACCAGTCCTATTCCATGGCCCCATTGCACCAGCCCCATTGCACCAGCCCCATTGCACTTTCCCCTGTCCCAGTCCCACCGCACTGGTCCCACTGGGACATCGGAGCCAGACACAGCTCCAGGACAGGTCCCAGCCCGCCGGCATCGCTGGTTCTGCCGGTGCCGGATCCAGCCCCAGTTGGGGCAGAGCACGAAGCCGCACCAAAACCCCCGAACCCGGAGATGGATCCAGAACCGCCCGGGAAAGGGGGGGGGAGCGGGGAGCGAAGCCGCCCCCAACCCGTGCCCTCCCGGGGCAGGGGAGACGCCGTCTCCCTTCCCTACGCAAACAAGGCTGTAATTAATTTAATAGCCTCATTACCAGCGGCTGGGTGAAACATCAATTAAACTGTCCGGGAGGTTTATTTTGTGGGAAAAGCGACAACGCGACTCTAGGAGTGTTTGTTTTTTTTCCCCCCGTCTGGAGAGATGGGATCCGGGCGGATGAGAAATCTCCTGGCAAAGGTTTCGTGCCGCGGGGTCACCGGGACCCGGTGGGGATCTGTCCCTGTCCCAGCCCGGATTTCCAAGGGCTCCAGCCAGGCAGCGTTTGCCATTCCCAAGGGATTTGTACCCAGAATAAGCCTCCACTGGCACCCCGAGCATCCCTCGTTTCATGGGGTGACCCCCCGTCCCCCTCCTGGCAAAGCCTTTAGTGGCGACGGTTGGCCACAAACGTTGAATTTGAGTTTAAAAACACGCTTTTGGGAGTACGACGGGAAAACTTCCCCGAGTATTTCCAGCCCCCGACGCTGAGACCCCCGCAGCCGCAATGGGAACCCCCTGAGATGCTGCAAGGGCCGGAGGCCATGGAACCGGGAATTAAAACTGGATTCGGGGAGGAAAAAAAATCCCAACCCAGAATTGGGGAGATGCTCTGCGGTCACTGGAAAAGGGATGCAAAGATGAAGGTGTCGAGGAAGAGGAGGATGAATAGCGAAAGGGGAAAAGAAGCGCTATGGAAGTGGCTGGTTTTGGAGGAGCATCCTTATGGGAATGGACAGACTGAGCTTGGGGATCCCCCCCCGATCCTCCATTCCTGGGGATCCCCCCCCGGACTGGGATGGAGCTGCCGATTCCCTTCCAGAATAATCCAAGCGCATCCCCCCAAAGGGGGACCCCAGATCCCAGGAAAATCAGGGGTGGAAACGGGACGTGCAAGGAGCCTGGCCCAAAAATTCCATTTTTTTTCCCATTTTTCTCCCATCCCTTGCGCTCCCGCCCGCTTAAGCGAGGCCGGGGGGGCTCGAGCAGGAGCGCAAGGGGGAGGGGACGGTGGTGGGATGTATCCGTATCCCACCGGTCTTTTCCCAATGCATCCCATCTCCCAGGTTTTTGGGGGCTTTTAATCATCATTTTTTATATCCAGAGCTCTCCGACATCGTCAGGATTGGGAAATGGAGGGGGGCGGGGGGGAGGAAAAAAGGCTTTATGATATGGTAAATCCTTTTCCTAGTCGGATTCTCTGCTGGATAAATCGCCCGCCAGGAGCGGAGGCGGCTGATGGAACTGGTGGTGTCGCCCCCCCCCCCCAGAAAAAGAGACCTGGGGGGAAATTTGGGGGTTGCCCCCCCTCAAAAAAACCCAGCCCCAAACCACCTGTTTCGATGGATAAGAACTCAGCGTTTTTTTTTTTTTTAATGCTTGCTGGCCGGGATTAGGGAATACGAAACGAGCGACCTCCCCCCAGCCCCCCCCCGATGCACTCCCACCATTACGGCCGCCAAAACCTTTGGTTTCCCCCCCCCAAAAATGGTGGGGAATTATTTACGGGCGGGGGGGGGGTGTGTGTGCCCCCGTGCTCTGGCGGCTTGGGGGGGTCCTGGAGGAGGAGAATGACCCCAAAAAGGGGAGGGGGGACGGACACAACACCCCCCCGGGCAGGGAAAATTGGGGAG